AAAGAAAAAAAAAAAGAAAAAATAATAATAATTTTAAAAATAAATAAAAATAAAAAATTTAAAAAGTGTAAAAACAATATTCATTCAAACTTTTAGCTTCAGTAATAATATCCCGTGTCCCACAATATAAACTAATTCATTGTTTATAAAAACTTCATAGAGCAAATGTTCATAAAATGTGTGCGGTAGAAGAAAGTTTTTTTGACTTCCGCCTTCATAATGTACAGGAAGCGAAATCTACTAATATGTGCGCACTAGGTCGACTGCGCACGTCTGCAAATCTCTTCCGGTAGACTTTTCTTTTTACAGAACACTAAATAACTAGATGGTAAGTAATACTTGAACAAGATAAATGATCTTCAAATAAAGTATACTTCATTTATATATGGGTTACCATTCAAGATGATTTGAACGGCGAAGAAATATACCTTTATTGATTGGTTTTGAAAAAATGTACGCGTGTGTCGTCTGCTAAACTGTTAAAATGCAGGCAGCCTATTTCAGTTTCGTTTCACTGCAAGTTAAGCTAAGAAATGTGGCAACAAAGTTTGAAGAATGATTATTGTGGCTGGTTTAATGCTTTAACTAAAGTACATAGCTTGGATGTCTCTTTAATAGAGTTTATTCGACAAATTAATAGTAATTTCTGTCACATACCAACTTGCTGTCAAGAACGTTCAAGGAGACAACTCTGGCCATTTTATACAAGTTTTTGGGAAACATGGCTAAGATTTATTTAATTCCAGGTAATACAACTGAGAGGGATTCATTGTAATATTTTGATGAGCCACAGTCAATGGATTCCTGGTAATAATCACTATACATGATTGTACTTACAATTAAGTGGAATGCTGCTACATGAGCACTTGATGGAGTACCTATATACGAGTGTCTCTGCCATTGGCTCAGTGGTGACCAGAGTGACCAATGAAGTGTTTCGGACAATTAAGGACACTGAATGGACATGGGTCAAGGATGTCCAGCACTCGGTGGAAGAGGGCTTAAGATACACTTGGACGGGGGTGCAGAGTTTGACAGCTGAAGGTGAGTTTTACAATTTCACTATTTAAAAGCGCGCAAATTAATGCATGAATAAAGTGTATAGTGTACTGGGAATAAAGTAAACTTCAGCAGAGGCGCATACAAATGATTTTTTTGGACCAAAGAACCTTCGGATTCACAAGACGCCCCCGTCGGTTCGGTACCATACAGTCAAGCTGTATGTGGACAGCAACTGGACTCTGTGTATGAATATTCATAAAATAAATGAAAGATAGAAATTAAAAGAAATTAACTAAATGATGATATAGGAATATACTTATACTTGACACTGAATACTCATATATCTACTTAATCTCAGGTGTCTGTTTTGCATCGGTTCAGTACCATACAGTCAAGCTGTATGTGAACACCAACTGGCCACTGTGGCTGGCCTACATCAGGGGACTGCTCTCCCTTGTCTTCAACCAGAAGACAATTGTGGGTTTTACATGTGTGGTCATGATACTCAGCATCTTGAAAATTATCTATAATGTCATAATGCAAGGTGGGTGTGGCAGTAAATGCAGTTGTGTTAGTACAACTAACACAGTTATTACAATTAGAACATTGGTTGAAAATTGTCAAGTTGTTGTGCAAGTTTAATGTACAGTAAGGATATTATCTTCCTAGCCTGGTTCTATAATGTTTCATCTGTGCTCATTGCCTAAATTGAAAGTCCATTATTTTTGTCCTTGTCAAATTAAAAAGTTCACTATCTTTATTATTATTATTATTATTATTATTATTATTATTATTATTATTATTATTATTATTATTATTTTCAGTATCTACCAAATTGTCCATGAAGAGAGGAAAATATTACAACATAAATTACAGCACCATGACTATATTTGATCTAGCAAAGGTATGAACATTGTTATGCACTGCTCAGTTGGTCAGTGCACAGTTTATACTTTTCTTAAACAATTCATTTTTTATTCAGATTTTTCAAAATTGCATCTGTAAAGCAAGTCTTCTTTGTTTAAAAAATTTTGAAGGAAGAAAGAAAATGAAAAAGACTTCTTCCACTATTAAATAACCAACCTTGGTTTAACTAAATATGTATTAAATATTTCTAGATTGATTCATCTCGATAGTCAAACAATAATAATAACTCCAGTGCTGTTGTCTGATCAGAATGTTTTAAGGTAAACAACCAAATAAAAGCATAATATGTTTTGTATGTGATGTTCATATTCCAGACAGCATATGTTAAAGGGCATACAGAAGCAGTACTGGACATGCTACACAGACACAACTATGATATCAATTATAGACTGCCTGCCAATGGGCTCTCCTTATTTCTGGTAAGAAGATGTCAGCTTTATTTGTAATTTATTCAATATATTAATACAAAGCAATATCAGTTAAACAGAGAAATAAATGTGTACAAATGCATGAAGGAAGGAAGAAAAGAAATAAACTGTGCTTGGACGTGACCCTGAAGAGATAAATACATAAATAAATGCACTAACACTACATAAGAAAATAATAATGTTATTAATATTAATAACGTAACCTCACATTCTTGTCTTCTTTGCAGTGTGCCTGTCTCAGTGGAGAAGGAAAACTGATTGAATATTTATTGAACCATGGTAAGTTCTGATTGAAAATCAAATAGCACTCCTCTCCACTTGTCTACCAGCCAAATATTATTTAGCACAGTAGTGTAATACAAGTACACATACATGTAGATTACACACAGACTGACATGCACACACACACACGTAGGCATATGCACACACACACACACCGGAATATGGACACACACACACACACACACACACACACACACACACACACATGTAAGCATAGGCACAAAAAAAGACACACACACACATGTAAGCATAGGCACAAACACACACACACACACACACGTAAGCATAGGCACAAACACACACACACACACACACACACATGTAAGCATAGGCACAAAAAAAGACACACACACACACACATATGGAGTATTATATGTATCTCCTGTATCCAGGTGCTGATCCCAGTCTACTGACAGAAGAAGGGGACTCAGCACTGTATCTGGCCACATTTGGAGTCCTCAACACACCACAGCCTGACTTGACAGTACTAGAAATGCTCATACAGGAAGGTGATGCTTCACATTCTGATTGTGTCCTGTACAACTAACACAGTGATTACAGTTTTAATATTGGGTTCTTTTTATTTATTTATTTATTTTAATTATTTTATCTTTTCCATTATTCTTATTTATTGAAAAAAGTAATAAAGCATGTACCTCTTAAAGACACTTTTCGAAGAAAGGGAAATAATGATTTTTTTTTATTCATCGTTTATTGAGTATATTTCATTCTATTGTATGTGTACAAGTATATAAGTAAAATATTGTTGTACTATAGGCTGCGATGTAAACCACCAGAACAATAAAGGCTACACATCCCTCCACAGAGCAGCAAGCAGGGGGAACATAGAGATGATTGAATACCTACTGCAGCAAGGAGCGGATGTCAACCTCTTCAGTAAATCTGGAGTGTATCCTATGGACAGTGCCGTCAATGCAGGTAAACTGGAGGTCCTCATCACAGGCCAGGCTTGTAGCCAGCTAGTTGAGGGTGGGTGGGTGGTGCTCTTTCTGCAAATGTGGACCATTTATCCCCCCCCCCCTTTATTAGTTGTACCTTGGTGAAAGCTTGTTTTTTTTTTTTTTTCGGTCTCAATGCTGTTGCCAGACCGTGTATAGGGGCCAGGCAAGTGAGAACTGCTCACTATAAAACTGTATCATATGGGAGACAAGTTGTGCCCCCCCCTCGCCTCCTTCCCTTCCCTATTCCGGAATGAAAGATATTTTCATACAGTTACAACATCATTTAGTTTTCTACGTTTGAAGTAAAATATATTTACATATCGAACCTCCAGTTAATGTAATTCTGAAATAATGTTACGAACAAAAACAAAGATTGCCAAAAATGTTTATTTCAGAATACTGAACGCAGAGACACTAAGAATACATGTACATGTATGTCATAGAAGTCTGACCCGTTCTTTTCAGTAGAAAAATATCGACTAATGGTTAGATAGCGAATTCTCCGCTGCGGTTTACTAGCTATAGTTGGTCCATCAATCTGTAAAATTACTTGGCATTACCGCTTCTGAATCATTAAGAGCGACAAAATATGCTCAGTTCCCTCCCAAATACAGTGAGACAAAATTATGAATTAGCAGGCAGTGATCAGAAACTATCCATCCTCCTTAACCCTCGAGACCATAAGTCACTGAAAGCAATATCACAGTATATACAGTTAAGAGCACAATGAAGTAGCACTCTCTTTTATGTAAGCATAATATGGTAGTTTCTGTAGTAGTCTAGACAGCAAACAATGTTAAATTGTAACATTCAAAGCTGAATAAATTATTATTAATGGTGTTTGCAAGGTTAACGCAGTCAGTTGATTTACAGGGGTTTGTCTCAAACATCGCCAAGAAGACGGGTGGGCGGTGGTGCGTTGGAAAGAAAAGGGGCATTTGAAGTTGTGTCTCTTTTCGTTATACAACGACCTTTCCTAATAAACGATCGATCTTCGGATGGATAAGTGATTGCATGAATAAATGAATAAATCAACATCTTATGTGTCTAAGAAGTTCTTTTTATTATCTTTTTATTGATTTCTGTGTGGTCTTAGTAAAAAAAAAAATTGATTTTAAAAACGTCAAACTGATGTGGGGGGGGGAGAGAAAGGGCGAAAATTAAAACCAAATTGCAGGAATAAGTATGAAGTAATACCATGAATATCATACGTATCTTATGGGATTATAAGAATTATGTTCTCTCTCCTGCAGGTCACTTGGACGCGGCAGAGTTACTAAAGACCGATCTTCCCGAGACGTACGTCACACAGCGCGTGGACGACCTGTTCACTCCGCCAAGAATACAGATGGGGCTGCAGTCGCCCTGCAAGACACACCTAGTCGAGTCCAACGTGCGCAGACGATCTGTGCAACTGTAATTCCCTGGGTCCACGTATAATGTTGGGGCAAGCCGAGAGATTAATTATACTATAACATTTATTGGATTGCAAACATTTCAGCATGGCCTTACTAAGGAACGAGCAAAGTTTGTGGAAGTCAACATGTTCAAATTGACGTTAAAGGTGGCAAGATTATCAACTCCATCATAAAACACTTAGAACTTACTTAGGAAATTTTATTCACTAAACATTGCTGTAATTCAGGTAGGAAATTAGAATAATTTTAAAACACTTATAACGTACTATAGAATGTACATGTACATATGGGACAGTGTAGCGTACATGCGTTGGACACGGGAACGAATCGATTTACGAACAACCTTTTGGAACGCAATTGCAACCTGTTCCTACTCTCCATTCGTGGCCACTTGACACTTGAAATTTAAAGTTTTAGTAGTGATTTTCTTTGTGACATGACACTATTGCATTAATTATTTAAAAGACACATTTTATAAGCGTACTTGATGCGTCTTTTTAATGGAGTAATATTAAAATACTCGCGGGGGTCTATTGCAAGTGATCCTTAATCATAATTTATTTATCGCATTTTGAGCAAGTGCCCCCATGTGGCAAGAGACTTGTAATTTTTTGTTATTAGCAAGAATTGCCAAATAATTTTTATTCATATATAATTTTATTATATTGCTATTTTTCAAATTTAACAACGTTCATCAACTTTTGAAGGGAGGTAGAAAATTTTAAAATGTTATAAAATTCCATATTTGCTTTTTTGTTTTCGAAATCATTTGCTTATCATTCCATGCCATTGGTATTCATCAAATATAAACAGAAAGTTTGTTTTTAATGACTTTTGTGAAGTTAAGTATTCACTTTTATATCGATACCAAAGTAACAAAATCGAAGCTCGCAATACCACGTCGTGTGTGTGTGTGTGTGTGTGTATATATATATATATATATATATATATATATATATATATATATATATATATGTCGCAAACAACGTACTTAAAAGCATGGGTGAACGTTTTCAGGATCATGTCTGATTTTAGATTTCCACTCTTCAGTTTGCATGTTTCTTTTTTTCATATGGTCTAAATGCAGTGAGAAATTACAAACTACGTTTTCACAATTTTCAGTTTTTACAACTCTACCTTATACATATAAGAGGAGCAAACAGACGTTGATAATTACAAGAAAGAAATCTGACAAATAAACTATAAAGAGATAATAACTCTTCGTTTAGGCCAAAAAATGAATTTTCCTGGAGTAAACAACAATTTCCCCATACTTACCAATGGTTAATGAATCCATTTTTACATTCAAAGTTAGTCCCTGTTTTTTTTCTAAAAAGTTTGGTTTTTTATTAAAATCTCTTAAGAGATTTTAGCAGAGTATAGCCATCAGTGGAGGTCACGTGGTCTAAAGACAAGCTCAGATATCAGAAAAATAGCTTTAACTGCCGTTTTTGTGGTAAAACAGAATATATTATATTTCTATGAGTTATTCACAATGTTTTTATTGTGAAATATAGACCTCACACGAAGAGTTATTATCCCTTTAACCGACCAACCCATAGAAGATAGATGTATCCCTTCGGTATCATATTTTGGATATAAATAGCCTGACCTAGAGTTGACATTTATAAACAAATTACAAACAAATCACTTTGTCACTTCACTCAATGGGTGTTTATTCAAAAACAAACAAAAAAAAATGACACGTAACAGTACATTGTAACGACCGTTCTCAGTAATATGCAAACTTTTTTCACGTAAAAGACACCGAATTTGACAAAGAGTGTCTAATTTCACTTTAAAAAGCAATTAGGCTTTAAAGTCAAATTTTGCTTTTTATTAGTAAGTCGCATTGAATAACTGAAGCACTGGTAAAACACCCTATCACACCGCTGACACATTCTAGCGTCTCTATCGCAATGGATTGTCACTGGCACGTTAGCTACATATTTATGGTTTTAACAGAGAAATACATCAAAGTTTTGCATATTTCATATAAGATCAGCACATTGTGACATCTTTTAAGGCAGGCATCTTTGATTTTGCAGCAGTATTCTAGGATACACACTTCCAAGTCATTTTTACCACAGACAAGGGATGGCTTGCTAATTATACTTCTAAATAAAGCTAGTCTTGTTCAATTATGAGAATTTTATGACGATGTCCACATGACAATGAATACACTTGGAGGCAAACCACGGATGCGACGTAGTCGCCCAACCCGTTTTTATTTATTATTATTAGTGTGTGTGTGTGTGTGTGTGTGTGTGTGTGTAGGCATTAAGCTACGTGGAAAGAGGTCAATTTCTTTGTCCACAGCCATCCTTTTTTATCTAAATGTCCCTCCAATGACCTAATTAAACAGACAACTCCCCCCTCCTAATTTTTTAAACCTACTGTCTCTATATCTAAACCCGCTTATAAAGTGCCTATCTCATGTAAGGCATAGCTATAGCAGATGTAATCGTGCCGACTAGTAACCATACGGCTGAGGTGAGGGCACCTGCTGGGTTACATAGATCTGTGTCACAGTGGCATATTTCACTGGTCCCAGTACCCGACGTGTCCGTTACTTCACAACCCATTTCAATTTTATTTCTCTTCCAGTCCCGATCGTCCTTTACGCACATTCGACTGGCAACTACTTCCTCTGAAATAAAAATGAGCAATTTTCAATATAAAATTGTATTATGCAGGCACGTTGGTGTAATTTTTAAAATATATTATACAGGCATTTCAATGTAGTTTTTAAAATGTAAATTTTTATGATGTAATGAAAAACCTAACTATAACTTTTTCAAGCGGATAGTAAAATGTGTGTTCGACCAGCTACATTGGTAAAGCAGTTGGTAACTATAATTACCTACGGGTGTTGATCCTTTGTGATAACCTTAATAGCATAATAAATTTCGCGAACCGCAGCTTAATACCACCACACATTTCTTGTGAGATAGGAACGATACTCCTGAAAACACTATCCTTCAAAAAAAAAAAAAAAAAATCGGCACTACTGCCAAGGATATCCCCGTAATGTAGATTGTGTTTCGCAATCCCAAGAGCGGTGAGTCAGATGAGCAGCTTAAATTAACTGTCTGCCATCTTCGATTTCAACCTCCTAAAACTGGCATTTGAAATCATTAGGGGTAGGTCGCTTCTGTGAAGGCCATATATATAAATTGAGTACTTATCCACCTACTTGAACGTGGATACGCACTGAACGGCAGCCGTGATTCATTATATTTAGTTTATTTAATTTGCTTAAACCTTTTAGGTCGTTTAAGTGACAATTCTTAAAGTATCCCATGGATTATCTATTTCCAATTTTACGAGTTAAAGTTTACTAAAAATACGTTACGGGAAAACATCTACTATTGATCAAGTGAGGTGTGGGTGTGTATGGTACATGCACAAAAAACTCCGTGATTACTCAAGTTATCGTTAATCTCAAACAATCTTATGGAACGTTTTTCCTGTCTTCTTCTTTTTTTTTCCTTTCCTTTTAATTATTTTTTTTTTCGAGTTAGCCGAAGATATTATTAATATTCTCTAACTCAGTTTTCAAGTACGTTGAGCTAAATTCCCGGTATCAAAAACTCAACGTTATGCGGAGTCTCCTCTATTTTATTTTTGAAGTGTCCAGTCCTACATGAAGCATAATTACTTACTTCTTCCTCTATTGTAATCCACCGTTATCTGTGTAAGCACCTTTCCGCACAGTTTACATCCAGTGGCTATGGTGGTGTCGTTTATATTGATGGTATTGGTAGAGTTACCGTTCTCGGGGCACGGCACGCCGACCTCATTACGGAATATGTTACACTCGTAGCAGTCTATGGCCGTTACTGGAATGAAAGAGATACTTGGTTACTGAGGGCATTTTGATGGTACGCACGCCCTCTATAGTTGGTAATCTGTGTTTTGAAGTGAGAACAGTGCGTTTCAGTGGCATAAGTATATCTTTGTAGCGGTTAGAATTTTTTCATATTTTCTGTATTTTTTTTTCATAATTTCTGTAATTTTCTGTGGCGGTGGCACAGTTATTGTATTCGGGACGAAAACTGCACCCTGATGTAACCGCAACAGCTCCCTCGCAGCTGTTGATTGCTGATTTGGAAAAAAGGAGAGGTATTCGGTAGGCCCTATCTTAGTAATTCTGTGACCTGGAAGAAACACCCCGGGTGTCGCTGTGATGTTGGTCACTCGTACCTTTATTTCCAAGAAACCCGCACTCGTTCCGTGAAGGCTGTTACCTTGAATTTCAGGGAGGCTGTATTGTGAGGTGGTGTAGAGTTTTACGAACACTTCTGTCCATGCGCACGTGCTTGTTAGTGTGTTTGCGTGAGAGAGAGAGAGAGAGAGAGAGAGAGAGAGAGAGAGGGGGGGGGGTAGTATGTAGGCTACACATATGTACAGGCAGTAATTATGTCAAAATTTTTATTTTTTTTTATTATTTTTTTTTTTTTAGTTTTTAGCAGCACTACTGATATAAATATTGTTGTTACAACATCACGGATGGCATTAAAAAGCTCTGTTAAAACAAAAACCATGATCCAAGTCCGTCACAGATAACACTGTCCTTTAAAAGGTACCAGTATCAATAATGAGTATACAGGCGAGAAGTTAGGCCTACATTTATACATTATTTGAAACCACGCTGCCTGGTGTAATCTTGACTAGAAGCTCATCAGTTTTGCGTTCCGCGCACTGTGCAAAGGAAATAGGTTCTGAATTTCGTTCTCAGTGCCTGCTTGTTATAGCTGGTCGATACTTACAAGTTGCTCTAGCCACGCGTGCTAAACATATGGAATTGGACTTCAAATTGCACGTACAACTTCTAAAGACGCTCTTTATAGCAGCATTACGGTGCTCTTCACCACGTGATTGACCATTATCTTGTTAGTGATTAAATAAGAACGGTATTTTTTGCGTACTGCATAAAGTAGGCCTATACAAAGCTCCAAGGTTAGAAGCTTACAACCGCTCAGTTATCTTATACATGTATTACCCCTGCTGTGGGGCAGCCGGTGCAGTGAGTTTATTATACTCTCTCTCTCTCTCTCTCTCTCACACACACACACACACACACACACACACCGGTGGCGAATTTAAGGGGTTGTCAAGGGTGTCCTGAACCCCCTTTCGATTTCTGAAAAAATAACACCAATGGTCCCCTCTCAAAATTAGAATTTTGGTAGTCCTAAACCGTATCAAATGGCACCGTTCGCCCTCACCTCCAGCGGAGGAGGGGTGGGGCGAGGGTCAGCTTCCGAAGCTCGTATCCGCAGACTTTCATTGTTAAAAAACGACCCCCCCCCCCCCCACCTTCAAATAATCCTGGATCAAGGTCCCTCAAAGCGAGGAGCTTGTATACATTAGTTACTGGGTAGTAGTGCCAAAACCAGGAATATTGTATTCGAATAAAATGCTCGTCATGTGCTCCACCATTTATCCGATAACTGAACACATATCAACGCTTCCACCAGTATGTACAGCCACGTGTGCCTTTCAATTAAGCCGAGGAACCTTGGCCCTGAATAATATGCATCCCGATAAGCCCGTACTTTGCTTATGTTTTTTACGAAATATTCAAGAAATGGTGACGGATCTGAAGAATTAACTAAGCCTCGTTACCGCCATCATAAATCTGGCAAAGTATTTTGAGGTCGGGGTCGCTCTGCGGTGCAATTTTAAGATCATCATCCCGATTGAAGTGTGGTATATTTTTACGCTCGTATTTCATCCTTGCTACTGGAGTTTACTACAATACTGTTTTTCACATTCACAGCTATTTGTAATGAATAACAGAATCATCGGAATCATCTTGTCTTAGAATTTCACCCAGGCTATACGGCAGGAGGCCATCTGTACAGTTATTGCACAATACCCACAAACCATTTGCACGTATTTTCTCGCATTCAAATCAAAGCCGATTAAAGCTAGGAAAAACGGTAGGAATGACTACCAGTTGACGCTTACCTGAGTACGTTTCCAACAGAGATATTAAACAAACTGCAAGCACTGAAAATAACCGAGAAGGAACCATTTTCGTTATGTACTTAAAGTCGCTGCAAATCAGAGCACCTTGACCTCTTTGATCCAGAGTACACCACGCTACACGCTATTCCAATCTCTAGTCGGAAATCCTACACCGCATCGCTTCTAAATCGCAAGTTTGGAATAATAGCGAAAACGCAAGCTGTGAAAAGAGATATTAGACCGTTTTCCTATAACGTGAAAGTTTTCAGATACAGACGCAGACAGTTTTGGTGTGTCTGGGACCGAATATTGATCGAACTAATGAGGACTAGTTTTGTGGCGGAATCACATTAAGCCGCATTTGGGAGTCGAGTCTCGTTCGGGTGCTGAAAAGGAATTACACAGGCTCAAAATCTAGTTCAGTCCTGGCTCGCATTAATGTTACGTATTCTGGCCATATTTTATTTGCGTATAATCTTCAAATTATGCATTAAAATTACACAAACTCTCTGCATTGACGTTTCAATCAAATATTTTACTTTAAGGAAATCCTCAAGAACTGAAGATAGCCTGGCGCGCAGCAAGGAGAACCTAATTTGCCCGTTTGCACGGGTTCGACTTTTGCCCTTGTGCAGCCGTGCGTAGCTTGGGCATCAATCACTTCCATTTGTCTTGCACCCAATGAAAGACGGGGTGTTCAGTATTGCAGTAGAGAGGCATGATTGTGATTTTAGCTTTATTATTTTGTCCGAGGACAAAACTTCATATCCAGTGGCAGACTTAGTTACTGATAAGCATGCACGCACACGCACTAACCCTCGTTCACTCTCTCTCACACACAAACAAAGAATCACGCGCACACTTTTCTTCAATTAAAAAAATAAACGTGCCGCAATGCCACCGCTTGGAATCAATTCTGAAGACAATCATTTATATTAGAATACATTTAAATGAATCGTATGATGATATGCATGGCCAATGTTATTGAGAGAGAGCGAGAGAGAACAGGAAAATTAGAAAGTCACGCATGGAAACATTTCTGTTTTGTTTATCGTTATCCGTATCAAAAGCTTGCAGCATATCCTCCACAACAGTAGATGGCATATTCTTACAAATCATCAGATGACAGTGTTCATGTCAACGGATATTATAGAGAAAATCATTTGGTCGTTTTTATGAAATTTCACCAATAATTAACGCCTTGTCATCAAATGTTTATCCAACAAGCACACACACACATAGGGGAGAGAGAGAGAGAGAGAGAGAGAGAGAGAGAGAGTTAGATTTCACCATAAATTTTGGAGAGGGCCTTTTATATTACTATGATTTCATGTCCAAACAACCTCTCTCATGAACAAAATTACGAATAATTTCGTTATTTTTTCCAAGTCCTGCTTTTTATGATTTGTATTGGCCTTAATTCGGTGTATGTCCAGTAGAGCATGTTTCCTTACCTTAACAGAGTTATCGGACCTTTGTTATTAAAAATTAAAGATGACCAACCTGACGGTTAGTGGTTAAAAAGGTAACCGACCAAACGCTTAGTGGTTTAGAAGATGACCAACCGGAAAGTAACTGGTTAAAAAGATGACCAAAGGGACATGAGTGGGCAAAAAAACAATGACCAAATCACAATGGAGATTTGTTCGTTTTTATTCATGAATTTGGAAAATTAAGGAAGGCTGTGGAGCGTTGATAAGAAGAAGGATGCAAATATTGTTGCATTAAAAAATATAATGTGAAGTGGATTTGCTGAGTAACATATCCGGTACAAATATCAGGACAGAACCAAGTTTTAAGTGCCCTTGGCTAATGAACCGATGAATTTATCAGTTGTTATGTAAGGTTAATGCATTGTATATGCCGTGTAAATCTATACATATTCATATACATGTACAAGAGAACGGAGAGAAGTAAAGTGTGTTTACATGTATGAGAAAACTGGCATCTCTCTCTGTCTACCTCTCTATCTCAAAATAATGGCGGTAGAGATTTCGTCTATTCGTTTTTTTTTTTTTTTTCAAAATATACTTGTATATGTATTGTATTTATAATATAATTGAATCATTCAGAGCCCAATAAACTATTATTATTATTATTATTATTATTATTATTATTATTATTATTATTGAAATCACCCCCCCCCCCCAAAAAAAAAAAGCCACTGAGAAACTGTGGTATACAAGTCATTGTTAAGAGGAAACATGGCGTTGATCACATGGTTTATCGCAGACAGAACACTGTTTTAATAGTTGATTTAGCACTCCAGATAACACTAAAATAATCTTTTAAATCTGCGTGTAACCCAGCGTGAGGCCGCGGAGCTGCGAGCACGATAATGAGAAGAAAATAAAACATCTCTCCAAAATCACATGTCCTCTTGTTTTCAACGTAAACGCTTCACAGCATGTCTGTCACCTTTAACTGACTGGAAACCGTTGATATGCGGCGGTAACGTACAGCCTGAGATGCCGCGACAAAAGTCGTGTCTTTTGCATGGCTATTTCAATGCTCAGGGACTGGTATGACGAGCCCAGGGCCTGTAAAACACGTTGTTTTACCAGACTTCTTGACAATTAATTTTCCCGAGGAAAAGTTAGTCGCTGCACAGACTGGTCCTATTGTTAGCAATATCTTCAGTTCACGTGATCTTGTGAAACAGCGAATTAAAAGCCACATTTATTATAATGAGAACATGTGGAGATGCGTTTATATAACATAAAGGAGTTAGAGTCTGCGATGTTGACAGAGTGAAGTCTACTTTTAAAAGAAACGTGGCTTTTCAGGTTGGAAATGCATAAAATCTGTACAAAATAAACGTAATCTCTTTCACGTTTCCTTCCTTTAAGAACCATTAACAGGACTACTTCAAATAGCGTCTTTGTTTCTGAACTTAATCGGCGCGGAAAATGTTGAGAAGATTGAATGATTAACCAGGTTAAGAATAAGTCCTGGCCTCCAATACAAACTATAAACAGCTTTTCTTTGCCAAGGCCAGTCTTTTCTTCTCCCAATATTTCTGTCTATCGGGAATGGAAAGAATATTAAGATATCCATCAAAAATTCCCGGAAAAGAGGATAAATATGCCCTCAAAGTGATTCGAAAAATGCTCTTGCGGCACTTTTATAGCTTCCAAGTGGTTTAACAGAAATTTTATCACCAGCTTTTCGGTATTCTACTCGATGCCAGGAAGAGGCCTGTTAATCTGATCGTATTCAGCAATAGTCCCCGTGGAGTGGGATCGATCTACGTAGATTGATAATTTCATTGGGAATGGCCCCCTAACACAAGGAGGCGGAGGAAATCGGACACGGGAGGGGGAGGGGAGTTTAATTTGCCTTCCAAAACAGGGCAGGGTCTATTGTGTCACTTCGTGTTTAGTCTGACACCGAAGTTCGAGCCTAAACAATATATAGCCACTTTCTGGTGTGAACACTGTATAAAATGTGCATTCTCGTTCAACATGGCGAAATCGACTATCTGATGGTGTGGGGGAACGTATTTTAATTAAAATTGGATTCATATTGATACCACCTGGCAAAAAATGTCTCTCTGTGTGAATACTTCAGTTCATTTTGGTTAGGAAGAGGGGTGGGGATATTAATATTCATATCAAGTGTAAAGGATCGAAGTTCGCTTGAATCTGTGTTGGGAAAATGAATGTATTTTTTTCCCCACTGTGGATGTCCATCTCTGCATGTGTGTTTATATGAGAGCAATTGTTATACTTCCACGAGGATTGTGAAAGGGTAGTTGGAAAACAGATTACTCGTTTGGTACATGTTATATTTTGTCTAATGTTTTTTTTTTAGGTTAAACGGAGCTTAAAATACATCATGTATATCATTCAGAGCGCAATAAATTATTTATTATTATCTTATTATATCAACTGGAGATAGCATCAGTTGAAACTCAGGGTCTCGTGACCTTCACCAAAAAATTGTGTCACTGTTTCCAGTGTCAGCATCTGAAAGTAGTTAGTCCAATTTCCTCCTGGTGTATGAATCTATGATGTGATGCAGTTCCTCGGCGACGGCGACGGAGGATGCTCTGGGCCAGGTCACACATAAATCATGCACGTTTTGGAGAACAGGCCACCTAAATGCTCCACTGAACGCGAGGAAAGCGACCTTGGTGTAATTTAATTAAAGGCAATTATATAACCTTGTTACATAAACTGTGCGTCTCTTCTTTCATTTTTTCTTTTAAATTATTATTTGCTACTCTGTAACTTTCTTGCCAGAAATCTATCCCCCTTGAAAGCGTTTTTCTCTCTCGAGGTTGTAAACGGCCAACAGTTAAGTTGGCTTGTTCCTGTTCTTGTAGTTTTGTTTCGCAAGGAAAATAAACCCACTGGAAAACGTTTTTTTTTCCTCTGGAGATTGCATAGTATACAGTTAATGTGATGGCTTATTTGTTCCCTCTTTCGGCGTATTTGTAAATGTCATTAGTCTCGCTGAGGAGACGAAGGCCGCTATGTTACAGGGTTCACGTTAAACAGAATGATGAAAGAGAAGACAGATGTCGACGCGATAACATTTGTTCATTTCGTAGTCCTTCGTGTGTTATTGTGTACCTCTTTCATTTGTTCGCCTATTTAGGCCTATATATTCATTCATGTGCTCATGATTATTTTTACCGTTTAAGAATTTCATACCTTGTTTTTCTGTTCACCTAGTTGATTTATCTATTTTTCATCAATAATTCATACAGTTTTACATATGAGTTCCCGTTGTCTTCATTTCCTAGCGACTGTGTTGTAAGAGGATAGGAAGGGGGAGGGGGCATGAATATTCATATCAGGAGAAACTCATCTCACGTCGAGATTTGTACATGTATATAGTAGCGCGTGCCCAGTGAGCCAGTCTACGTTTAAAATTTTTACCTAGTATTGGTATTTCTGTTTTCTGATGGGATGATTGAAATAAATGCAGAACGTCGCTCAGTGCTACTTGAATATGCACCTTTTTCATTATCATTATTATTTTGACAGAGAGGCGTGCATCTGCCGTTTTTTTAACTTTATTTTACTATTTTTATCACGCTGAAAATAAAAAAAAAATCCGCTAACATGCACAAGTGCTCAACAAAGCAAATTTTTCTCTCCTAGCAAACAGTTTTTGTGCTAAATTTGCTTTGTTCGACGAAAACAAATGGGAAATCTTGCCCACAAAAGAACTCAACAAATACCTTCAGTTAAAAAAAGCACTGGTATAGGTCCGTTCTTATAAATCACATTAAGAATGATGTCATACCTCTCTTCGCCTGATCGCGGCACGTGCCGGCGTCTCGCGCTCGACCTCGTTTCTATTTTACTACTGTGAGCGTGGAAAGCCTACAACAGGTTGTAGGAAAACTTTTCAAATGTCTCGGGAACTGTGAAAGGGCTTCATCAACTTCTTCCTATTCACCACTTGTATGGGATTGACGACGGCTTCTCCGTAGGAGGATTATGTGTTAACCTGTTTCCATTCCTTCAGTCGGGAAGTCCATTTAGTAGGAGTACTATACTATACCCTCACTCATGAGATTACAAGGGACTCGAGGGAGATTTTTCTCTATCGGTATCAACACATTCCAGACAGATATGCAACTTCAAAGAGTGCCAAGTGTAAAGACTTCAGGATTGCCCGTGCTGTTTTTAATGTGGTGCTTGCTCTTCTGCTGCTGTTGCTTTAACACGAGAGTGCAATCGTTTAACGTGGACACGAAGAACGCTGTGATATTTAAAGGGCCACCAAGAAGTCGCTTCGGCTTTTCGGTGGTTTTACATAAAAATGACGCTGGCTATTGGTAAGTAGGTTCCCTGTGGTGGAATCCCAGGGCGTGGGGGTTGGATCTTCTGCCTCGAGTCTGGGATTATTTTATCAACTGACGTAATATTTATTAGGTTTGGAGAACTGTTATCGTTTCTACATGTTTTTGCTTGGGTATAGTTAGTCACAGTTTCAGCCTCCGGGACTTACTATTTATGTTTCACAGCAAACATAGCAAACGTGAATACAGGAGTGTTAGAGACATTACAACTCGGTCTAAAATACAGCGATGGGCTGTGGTATTTACTATTAAGAGGGTAGAGAGAGAAATATATATTCGCGCATTTGCCTGATCTCACGTTATTTATATAATATTAACAGCATATCAGGGGGTTTATTAGTTTTACCGATGCCAAACCTGTCTAAGAAACTAGATTAACTTGAACAGCGCGAGGAGGAATTCTGCTGAAAAAAAATTAAAAACAGAAACGGCCATGCATTTCCTGTTTTTGTGTAAAAAAAAGCAATATAAAAAATAGATTGACACGAAGTTAGGGTGCATTGGAACGGAAAGTCAGCGTATAGGTAATAATAATAAGATTCTTATATGGCGCCTTACATTCTATCTCAAGGCGCCTTACAATTATGGCTAATATACTAAAATCATTAAAATGACTACAATATTTTAATCATAAACTCTCATTGGAAACCATTTAAAATTTACACTACTAAAAATCAATCTTATTAAAAAAAAAACATATATATATTAAAATAAAATCTAAGAGATATAGACAGAATTAAAAAAGTGGGTCTTTAAAAGAGATTTAAAATTGTCAAAGTCTTCTGTTTTCCTAATAAAATTTGGTAGACCATTCCACACTCTTGGGGCGTAGATTATAAAAGCATGCTTTGAGCCAACTTGCTCTACGGGTTCACCAAGTCCATTGCAAGTATTTGCTGTAAAGTGCAGAAAAGACACGAGTTGTGGACACACTGTACGTGAAATACAGTGCAAAATCTTAACGTAACTTATAACTGCTATATGCACTGTGCCCCATCGTACATGCAAGTAACTGACAAAAGTCACTCAGATTGTTTGTTTTTGCCCATTTACACGTAACCAAATCATCAAAGGAAATCGATCCAGACTCGATCAGTACATATATAATAAGCAGAGTGAAAGAATTTACATAACTCGCAAAAATACAGTAAACCTCGTGAAATTGGGCACTTTGAAGTCGGATAATTTGTTGCAATGTACCATGTCCACAGCAGAGGAAAAATCTTTTGGAGATAAACGATAAGTTGAGTTATAATATGGAGAGTAATGGGGAACCTACTGTATACGTTTTTTAACCGTAGGACTAAACAGGCTGTTTCCAATGCTTTCTTAAAGGCATACCAAAACTAGGCCCCAACTCAGCCACCACTGAAAGTGAAGCGACAACTGTCGACGTCGGTTTTGCTTTCCCTAAACGTATGAAATTGCCCCACACAGAGTCATAATAACTCCCGGGGCTCAATAACAACTCAGTGTGTCAGTGAAAGTTGGGAATCCGAACGTTATTTTACATTATATGCGTGTGTGCGTGCGTGTGTGTCTGTGTGTTCGCAGAGCCAAACGGACGGGTCATTTGGCTTTAGTAGAAGAGTATTAGTGCTATACCGTGATATGTCATTATCCACTACTTACATAAAGAAGTGAAATTGATAACTTGAAAATCGACCAGAAATTGGTGTATGAAATATATCCCCGAGGTCTAGAAGAGGGAAGATGGTGGAGCGAGGGGGGGGGGGAGGTTATCCCTTCTCTCCACTACTAAGTGCACTTACTCTTGTCGAAACACGGTCAAGTTTTCTTTTTTTATTACACACCGTACAGATATGTTATAGTTTCTGATTTTTTCACTGTAGTTTGGAATATCGCGGGTTTATGCTGTAACAGTATGGCGTTATGAAACCACTAGCCCCCCAATGCTGGTTCTATTGCGACACAGACTGAGGCCACATTCACAAACGAATTTGATCCACGAACTAACAGATCCGCGGATCAAATATGGCCGACCCACGTGAAAGCATGCCGCGTTATCCTCGCAGGGAATCTATTCATTGTCTATTAGGCGGTTNTGGAGCGAGGGTGGGGGGGGGTTATCCCCCCTCTCCACTGCTAAGTGCACTTACTCTTGTCGAAACACGGTCAAGTTTTCTTTTTTTATTATTATTACACACCGTGCAGATATATGTTATTGTCTCTGTTTTTTTACTGTAGTTTGGAATATCGCGGGTTTGTGCTGTAACAGTATGGCGTTATGAAACCACTAGTCCCCCAATGCTGGTTCTATTGCGACACAGACTGAGGCTGTATTCACAAGCAAAGTTATGGATCCGAGGATCAAATATGGCCGACCCACTTGAAAGCATGCTGCACAATCCCCGCGGTGAATCCATTCAGTGGCTATTGGGTTTTAATGCGGCAAGCTTTCAAGTGGGGTGGCCATATTTGATCCGCGGATCAGCTAGTCTGCGGACCAACTTGCTCTGAATGCGGTCTAAGAGTCACGCTGCCCACGGAATCTAGATGGCATTATTTTGGAAACTTGGCACTTTATTGCCCTCTAGTTTTTTTTACACCGTGACTTTGTTGATGATAAGTTTCCGTCAGTCGCTTCTCATTTTGCAAAATAAACACAGGCTCTCTGCCGAGTATTGTGTGACTATTTTGGTTTTTGTCCAAGTAAACCTCAGTTACGTTGCCGATTATTTTGGTGTAAAAAGACCCCAACCGTGAAATGCATTGTGCAGCTGCGCACCCTGTGTTTCATAGTCCAGAAAGAGCGGCACAAGGGAGCACCTGCCATCAAGTGCCTGCATCTCCTTTTACCAGAAGTGGAATAGCCCAAGGAGGTGTACACCCGTTTCAATAGATATCTGGAGAGAGAGAGA